GGCTTCTGATTGGTCAATAAAGCCTGTTCTGTTGTACCAGTCTTTTACCTATTAGGGCTCGGGTATTCTACAGTGTGGTGCGGCGTCGGATTAGGGCGCAGACATGTTGGACCACCTGGCCTCAGCCAATTCCGTGTCTCTCTGCGATCCAATGGTATGCGGGAAAGGAAGGCAGCCAGCCAGAGAAGTACATGGATGAGGTGCAGTATATAATGAGCGGCGTGGCCAGCGTGGTGGACTCGGATGGAAGGCGCCTGACGCGTGAACCTGGCCTGTGAGTGTTCAATAAAGCCAGTTCTCTTGTACAAGTCTTTTCCCTTTTAGGGCTCCGGTATTCTTTATGTGCGATGTATAGGGCGCAGACATACTAAACCACGCTGGCCTCTGCCAATCGCCTGCCCCTTTGCGCAGCAATGGCATGGGAGGACGATTTGAAGGAAACCAGACACAGAGGGCGTGGTTAACTGGGATGGATGGTGCTTGGGGTGTGGTTCTGGTTTTTGATAGGCCAATGAACCTGTTATGTTGTACCGGCCCTCTTTATACGAGGGCTCCAGTATTCTACATTGGTGGCAGTGGTACGTTTGCATAACGCAAATCGAAATCCAATTCTGCCTTTCCTATGGATAACAGAGGCGAGGACCCTTGAATGCCAGCTGTTGTTGTTCCAAAAATTGTACCATAGACAATGACTGGGATTAGGGCTGCTGCATCCGAAGTGGTATTGGTAACAGCGTCAACGAAACGGATGGTAAAAGCCAGTTGGACTACGCAAGGAGAAGGTAGCTGCAGTGAATGAAACGGTCTCTATGCACGTCAACAAGAGCGAAGTCCCTCGTCTATTATTTGCTTGAGCCACTGTCCTGCCAGATGTGGGGTATCAGGGAGTGTCGATTTGGATATTTTGTCAATCATCAACAGTTCGGCGAACCAAGCAGTAAGCTAGAGATGGATTATCTCCTGAGGTAGATGTAATGCAGTAACGTTATAGGGCGCAGATACAATAAACCACGTTGGCCTCAGCCATTCTTCTGCTTCTTTACGATTACATGGCATGCGAGGATTGTTTGAAGTCAAACAGAGACAGACCCGACGAAGAGGCTGCAAAAAATGAGCGGCGCAGACTGCGTGGTTGACTCGGATAGACTTTGCTTGACGTATGATTCTGGCTTGTGTATAGTCATTTAAAACTGCTCTGGTGTGCCAGTCTTCCTCATACTAGGGCTGGTGTATTATATACCGCTTCTTCAATGTGTCTGTCTATGGTTTGTTTCAAATCGTTCATAAAAGCCATTGAAAAAAGGTCAGGCGATTGGCAAGGGTCAACGCGGTCAAATATGTCTGCGCACTATGGCGTCACTATTTTAGCATACCCGACCTATACTATGAATACGAATGGTACAACAGAACAGGGTGTATTGACCAATCACAAGCCAGAACCACACGTCTGGGGCCTTCCATCCGAGTCCACCGCACTGGTCATGCCGCTCATTATATACTGCATCTCATCCATGTCCTTCTCTGGTTGGCTGCCTTCCTTTCCCGCATGCCATTGGATCGCAGAGAGACAATGGATTCGCTGAGGCCAACTGGTCCAACATGTCTGCGCCCTGATCCTACGCCACACTGCCTCCCCCTCAGCAGTGAAGCTGTCCCCAGCTTCTGGCTTGGTTCACTGCACTGTTCATGGTTGTTAAAATATCCAGTTCGACACCTCCCGCACCCCACATCTAGCAGGATAGTGTCCCATGCGAATAGATGACGAGGGACGTTGCTCTTGTAGACTTGCAGGAAAGACTCATCATCCATTGAAGGTCCATTCGCAAATGCAGTCCAGCTGGCTTTCACTGTCCACGTCGTCGTCGCTGAGTTGCCAATGCCTTTTCAGACGCAGTAGTC